CGCATCTCATCCGATTCGGTGTTAACCGACAGCTGCTGAGCGGCGTTCGTGGCCTTAATTTTCATTGCTCTCGCGATCGGCGACGACCCAAATTTTGTCGCGGGCGCCTCTTGCCGAGCGGCTCGCCGCCATCTTGATTTACCGATCGCCCGCGTTCGGTGATCCCGTCGTGATAAATGTCATGTTAGCGTTCAAGTGGTTCCACTTCGGTATGCCACTTGCGAGGCAAGTCATCGGATCCGGAAATTAAAAGAATTATGAAACTTTCTGTGTAAGCGGAGTAAGTCGACCCTAATTGCAATTTTTGCCGAGTTTCACTTGGAAACATTTTGAAAATTTCCGATGTTTTATTCTGACAATTTATAGACGTGAAAGGATAATGTATTTCTTGTTCACTCCTTTTTTCGCTATCTCTTACTAGTCTTAAGATAATGAACAAAATTTGAGTTTTCTTGAAGGGGTGGTTTCACCCTTTCAAAGTGAAATTTGGTGGGAAAATTGCGATGTGTTTGACTTTACTTACACAAAGTTTTATAATTTTTTTAATTTGTCTGGCGAAATAAATGGGATGATTGAATCTTCGTATATTCGAAATCTACCCTTGTAATTAAATGGTACTAATAAATCATTGATTAATAAAGATTCAGTGTTTCGACAGAAAAGTGGAATATATAAAAGAACACTTATCAAACTATTTCCGAAGAATGAATCTATTACTTCCTATGGTTATATAATTTATTAATGTATTTGTATATTTATTTTTATGAACTTCTTGTACACGAACAAATATCTCCGGGACAAACGTAGAATTCGGAAGCAGTCGCGTATCATTGGTCGGCGCAGCGAGTGTCAGCTCTTATCCGGCTTTCCGCGTAATTCAACGAATCAGCCATTATACTGTTCTCGAGTGAATTAGTCGTTCCCGGAGCACTTTCGAACCACATGTTCATCCGCCTGTTGGACTGTATCACGCCGCGGCGCAATAAAAACGTATCGTTTTTATGGAACTTTCGAAGCAGGAAGCGCGCGTACCGAGCCAAGGAATATTAAAAAAGCCGTGTACGCGCATCGTCGTCGCGTACGCTTCTTACGAAACGGACACGGGCAACAAGAGCAATTCTAAATTCGCGTGTATGACCGGTGTTTCTTGCTGAAAGAAAGTGTAACGATTCGAACAGCCATTATCGTATTCTCGAGCATCTCAATTCCTTGCGCTCCGAATTAATTAAGAGATTTGACAACGAAGAATTTTCTTTCCGCTTATTTTACGCTTTCATTAACCCTTTGCACACGGAAGTTTTTCACTAGAAACATTTTAACATTTTCTGATGAGATAAAGACGATATTTTGTGAAACTCGAGAGAAATCACACGTACATTGAGGAACAAAGCTAATTGATTTCAATATTTCTCAAATTGATGCATTATAGAAAGTATAATATTAAATATCAAATTTTATATTTTTACAATATGAAATCAGATGAGTGAGTCACCTTTCGCAAAGGGTTAACTGTCTAAAAACCTTAGATAATAATCATTGCTTCCACCGCTTAAAGTATCAAGACATTAAACGTATATCATTACTATTCATAAAACACAAACTTCCAACGTTACAAAGGCTCAGACTTTTTCCTCGTCCGACAGCGTACCCTGATAATGGTTAAACACAATCTTATCGCACAATGGACCGCAAAGAACGCATTTATTGCCGTAAAAAAAGGAGAAACCGTTCGCGGCTTCGATCAAGTCATTTACCACGAAGGTAAAGATATTTTTCGATGGAATCACGTTAACGATTGGTTCTAAATGCAACGGATTATTTATCGGCGAGCCTAGCATTTCCATTTATCCTGTCGATCAATATTTGTCGCGTGGAATGCCAAAGCCAGACGTCGGATTCGCGTTTTCGTTGTCGGCGCACGCGAGCCAAATACAGGGTGTCTCTTAATCAACTGCGTAACCTGCAACCGAATAAATCCGCGCACGATAAGCGAGTGCTCGTCCTAAAGAACCGATTCACTCGAAAGTTTCGTGTGATAAAACTTTGTTCTTTTCGCGATGCTGCTCCTTTGCGAAGCGTGACGTCGAGATCTTAACCCTTTGAACTCTGTACGCTCCAATATTGTACCAGGAATAATATCAGATATTTTAATGAATCTTAAAGAAACTACCCTGTAATTATTCGATTTTTCACACATCCAAATTTTGCGCTAAGAAGGATAAAAGATCTAAGAAATGTTACAGCATTTTTCATTTTCGCTAGGGATACTATAAAAATTAGTTGCAGCTGCTGATAGATTATAAATATAAAAGCGAAATAATCTAAATAAACTTCAATATACATTGTTTACACATAGTGTATTGAAATGAATCTTTGGACATATATTTTATATAACCTTGAATATTTTGCTTTTACAATATTCTATTGCATATTGCCCTGCGTTTCAAAAATTGAAATGGCTAATACAAGTGCAAACAGGGGTTAACACTTTGCGGACGAAGATTCTTTGAAATGTGCAAAACTTTTAACAGATGAAGCTAAATTAACAACAACAATAGGAAACTGCGTGCTGAGTTCCTGATATTCGAGTGATTAAATCATTTTTTTATGACTTAGTCTTCCAAATATGAATACTTCATCTCCACGGAATGTCGACATTCGTCCGCAATGGGTTAATTTATGATCGGTCAACAATGTGTCGAACGAGCGACTTGTTGGGACTGCGATGGAGAGGATAGCTGGACTTATCAGCGGCGTTGCTGCTCCATAACGTCGCGAGTGCCAGGTTCGATGCAACGGTCGTGTTGCTAATACGGGGACACCTTGTGTATTTCGGAGCTAGATCGCCGTCGCGAGGAGAACGTTACATTTTACATAAGCGCACGCCGCGCTATCGAGAATAGGTATTATTCCGTCGGATTACAAGTCGCACACCGCTCGTAATCTACCGATCTGCCTCGAAACAGGATGTTCAATTAAATTTCGCTAGGCGAACGCGAAACATCTGGCTGACAAAGACGGTTCCTCGCTTTTGCGCGGACGTTCCGCCGCGATGTCTGACGATCCGTTAAAATTCGCCGAGAGGAAAGAAAGGAAAATGTGAATTAGCCTCGTAGAATCGAACGAGGCTCGCGTTGACGTTTAGAAATTGAATCTAACGCGCCGACTGCCGTGAAAATCTTCAGCGTTTCGCGTAATTATTCTTTCGCGAGAGAGATGAATGGGAAGGATTATTAATTATACAATTCTTATATCACGCTATTATCAACTTACATTATAATTGTCTTCGAGCAACGCAGAAGCGTCGATCATCGTGTCAACAAATATATTACCTTTCCCTTTCAAGCTGAAATTACCTCTCGAGAGTATTTCTGCAATAATTTATAACACAGCGGACATAGATATCTTTTTCCTAATTAGAATCATTTTCTCATAGTTGCTTACTAAAACTAATACAGCTATACAGAGAAAGATAGGTAAGATCAATGGGTTAAACGTAGCAGGATAGTCGTTCCGTTAATAATTACCTCGCGTTTGTTTTACACTCGGTTCTAGAAAAAGAAAATTGCTCTCAGATTGCGGCGAGGAACGAAGAGTGAAAAAAACGACGGGGAAAGCCGCGTTTACACGTGTACGGACCGTTAATTGCGAGTTTTTGCTTAGGTCGTTAGCAACAATTTATTAAAGACCTTGTTACGCAACGACACATCAGTTTTCATAATCTACAATGCGGCGTTATCCGGAACACGGATGAATGATGCACCGCGCGGCGCGCGGGGAGCGCTGCTTACGAGATAAAAGTCGTTTTACAGATTCCCGCTGCCAAATACCCGTTAGCATTTCCTCTTCTAACTGTTCAGCATCGGCTCTGCCTTCATTTTGTTTCATCTGCGGTCGGCCTGGTGTTATCCTTTTTGCCCGGCGCATCGCGTCCCGAGCCGCGTTATTAATTATTTGCATTTAATTATCACATTCTCGAACGGTATCGCGTTATCGGGAATAATTAATCAACAGGCAACGCGCGCACTCGACCGGTCGTGCTTTATTTTCCCTGTTGTCCACATTTTATTAATGCCGGCTGGCTCGCTGGACGACTCGCCGCGATTCGCGCACTGCGAAATCGAAGCAACGAGGTTCAAGGGAATAGAAACACTCGGAATTTCTGTGCGTTTCTTCCGAATCGATCGTTCTTACTTTTCCCGGGGAAAGTGATCTATTTCCCTGAGGGTTGGACGGTGAATAATTAGCTTCGAATATCCGGTTGTCAAAGCGTGCATAGTTCGAAATGTCGCAATTGGATTCGAAACTATCATTTATGGATTGGCTGTGAATTATCGCGACGAACCTATCTCTACTTATTAATCTCGCTCGTATAATTACTACAATACCACGCCGTTTTATAACGACTGCGATACGTCAAAATTCGTTGATAACATTCAGCCTGGCGAACATTCGCAGCATCATTATCGCAGCAGCGTTACGCTGTAAAATTCAATCAAGTCCACTGTGAATCGCAGTAATTAAAAATAGAACGATCCTGAAAAATTCCAAATTTAATCGCAGATCAGGAACATTCTCGCTCATGATTTAACGCTCAACACTGTTTAGTATTTATTATTACGAACAGTATCGCAACCAATGAAAAAAAAAGACGACAGTATAAACCCATCGAAAAATTCTGTGATACTCGCGCGTGCAACGAGTGCATCAGCAAGTGATTCAGAAGGGAGAACGGCTCGGCGGTAGCAGTTTACTTCCGACTCACCCTGTATATCCCCTTGGTGTCTTCCCATCTGTTCCCAATGCCCATGGGGTCCCGTGGGTATCTCCCTCCACGAGTTAGGGCCACGTAAGTCGACCAATCGTTCCCTCCCTCGCCGTTGCCCCACCGTCCTCTCTCTCACTCTCTCTCTCTGTCTCCCACTCTTCCTCTCTCTCGCTCTCCCAGCTCTCTCGACCCTCGAATGGCCCGTATTCAAAGACTTCGTCCGGCGTCTGTCGGCAGTTAGTCGCGGGACGTTCATCGTGAAACGCGTGTTCCCGTGTCCCGTGATCTCCCGACGCTACCTAGACGCTAGAGCCCAGCGCCACCGGAGATTAGGGTCCACGACCGTCCTTATCATCCGCAGCCTCCGCGATAACATCCGAGTGAACTTGACCTCGTGTCCAACTGGCTAGATTCAGTGGTGTGCTCACCGATCCGCCGGGAGTGGACTGAAAAGTTACCGCAGAGTGCAACAGGTCCTGGTAGCTAACCGCTAGCCAGCTCTTCTTAGCGGCTAGCTCTTTCGTCTCTCGTGAAACAGCTCGATCATCAGAGAATCGTTCGATCGATACGTACGATAACTTAGCCAAGTGTCTCTGAGAAGGTTCCGCGGCGTTTGGAGTACGGTAACTTCGTGGCGATCGAAGAAAGTTGCGAAGCGAGGACGAATGAAGTCGAAGCTGTCCAGAGTTAGGGTATCCGCGGATTGACGATCGGTCGAGATCGTGGTCCAAGGACACACGTGGCCAGTCGGCCGAAAAAACAGCGTGGAAAGGAAGAGACCCCGATGCCGCGTCCTTGAAGATATTTTCGAGCGGAATATACCTGGCCGGGCCCGATCGAGAGAAGAAAGCTGGAGCGAGCTGCATCCGGTTCAGACGCGCGTGCCCGCCCTCGCTCGCAATCATCTCTGCGGGACGGTTTCGTAATTCGTTTCGGCCGGATTTCTCCGCTGGCCGTGGTGAACCGGGTCGGGAACGGGTCGTGGGGGATCGGCGAATGAGTCCTCGCCACCCGGTGTCGGAATGACACGGCTCCTCGCGAGGAATGCCGGCGCGCGCTGACCAATTCCGCCGCGTTTTTCGCCGTGACACCCGCCGGCACTCGTGCAACAGCCGCGGAATGAGAGGTGTCGTCGACAAGCGTGATCTTCCTTCGGACGGACTGGATGGAGCTGTCCCGAGAGCTACCTGACTACCGAACCTACACGACTCGCCTGTTTTTCGCGTTCCTCGTGAGTATCCGCGAAGCTGTCGCTGTTTCGTCGTTAACCGACGCGATTCGATGATTGTCTCTTGGATTTGACTTTGGTAGACGTGTTCGTTCATTCAGGAGTATGAAGTATCGTTGGGAAAGTGGGAATATTGTACACTGATAATGATTCTGATCGGGTTTCCTAGAAATTCAGGGTGTTCTTGAATAAATGAGGTGATTCAGTAAGAAAAGCTTTGAAAAATCGGGATATTGTATGTTAATAACGATTTCATACTGATTTCCTGGAATTTGAGAGTATCCTTTAACAAACGAGCACTCGATTAGATAGGAAATGTCTGAAAGATTGTAATGTTGCTAAAGAGATCGGTTAATATTGAGTAGAAAAGAGTCGAGAAATTGAAGCTGGGTTAGGAACGGTTCCTCCGATCGTTCGCTCTTCAAAGCCATCGATGACCGCCGAGCGAACGGAGTTACACGTTCTATTGAACAATTGCCTGTCTGTCGGGCGAGCCTAAGGCTCTTTCTTTCCGGTGTCACGCTTTCGGCGACAAATTCGTTCGTTTATAGTTGAACGGGCGCGAATTTCGCGGCGGGAAATGTCAGAGGTGCTTGAACCCCGGGCTCGTGAACCAACAGCAGATCGAATTCGTTCGCATTCCTCGTTGTTCCGAAGCATAACGCACCCCGAACGATTCCTCTGATTAACAACCGGTCGCGATTCATTTCAGATCCGATCGTTTCACGGTTAAGATCGATTGTCTCCCAGAAAACTACCGTTAAAGTGATCGTGACCTCGATTGGGACTGTAGATTCTATATAGATCCGCGTTGACCGTCTATATATGACTAAACAACCGGATCGGCGACTTTTTTGCGAAATCGCTGAAAGGGTACAGCCTAAACTTGACTCCGGGAACGTGTTCGATCTCTTTCCGATCGTTGTTTTGCGTTCGTTACGCGATCATCGCGTGCCTCTCCATGTTGGGAAGTTTTTTGTCTGAGATTAATATTCATGGGTTTCTCGATGGAAATCTGTTAACTTTTTTCGGCCGCTTCAACGTGATTCTCGTATTGTTTATTTGTATCTGTGTGCTGTTCTATTCATTATCACGATACGTCTTCATTCGTTCGAAACGAAGAAGATAATGCTCGTCATTCACGTTGCTGGAGAAATATCCTTATAGTAATGGTAAGCTTAACTCGTTAAAATAAACCTTGGACAACGCAATCTGTATATTCATGGGATACCTCGAGCGTAAGAGTGTGTCGAGGCTTCGAGTCGCTGAAAACGAAAGCTGCCCGAGAATAATAGACGCGTCGTCCTAATTGAGCGATACGCGAGCCACTTGCGGAAGCGTTAAACGGATTTTCGATTCCAGATCCCGTTCGGAACGTTCGTTACACCATAATTAGAGCGAGGCCCGTGATCTCCGGTCCGTTTCGATTGCTGTATCCGTGCCCAGTCAACACTGAAATCGCGATTCCATTAATGAGGGTTGTCTCGCCGGTGCGCGATGAGAAAATCCGATGATTTCTGCATCGAACGCGAAGAACTTTTCATAGAATTCAGATACAACGATGAATCTGTTTCCCAATTAAAGCTGAAGTGCCGTAGAATGATGCCGGTGTACGAAAAAACATTGGAGAATCGATTTCGATCTTGAAAATATTGATTAATCGTTGAATTTTCATCGCAGTGTCTTAATTATACCCAAGGTTCTTCGAGTTTGCACGCAGAAACGACCGGGTTTTCTCGCCGCGCGGCGTTTCGAGTATAATTAACGCGTTGAAATGGTAACTTGTAAATTGTAGGCCAGTTGAGCTGAATTAGAGGCAGCTTCCGGTCGCCTCGCGCCGATACATCCTCGATTACGCTCGAGTTTGCAGCAGTTGTTCGCTCCTTCTTCGTAATTCTTGTTCGTTTTCCCCGGACTCGCATCCCCTCGTTTTGCATTCGACTTAATAGCCGCGTGTCGGGTATGTATTCGTCGTCCGCCGTTTATAATTTCACGATCCACGGATTCCCCGGCACTCGGGTGTCCGCGAACTGGTTTTATTGGCCGGGGGAGAAAGAAAAGGAAGCCCGGGCGGATAGAATCCGTATAATCTCGTAAATTCCGCGCCGATTATGCGACTCCGACTGCTTATTACCGCAACCGCCGGGATCTTCTGCGCGGATAAAGAGTTTTATAGTGCAGTTCGTCGAAATTGGAATTAAACTAAAATTCTCTAATTCTCTGCACTAAGGGAACCCCTTGCATTCTAGGGATGGTACGTTCTTACAGATCGTTCTCGTCCGCTTAAGCTTCATTCGCTTGAAAACACTGTAAAATCGTGGAATCATCTTGAACGTGCTGTTTCGATCAAAATAGCGTTGAAGAATTCGACGAGTAACAGAAATATAGCAGAATCTTTCGTTTTAGGGAAGGGAAAGTTGAAGAATAAGATCTAAGATCTGAATAGAAATAAATCTAATTACACTTAATATACAAATATAAAAAAGTAATACACAAAAATTACAGTTTAATTTTCGTAACAAGGATCACTCGAACAGAGCAAAAAGTGTAAAATTGAGTTCCATCGCGAAAAAAGCATCAAAGCTCTAAGGTCTGCGCGAATCAAAGTGAAATCTAGATAACAATCGAAGAACCCTAGACTCGTTGATCTAGAACCGTAGATGTGAGATCGAGATCGGATCAGAGGCTCAACATTGCTGCAGACGAATCAATCAGACCGGTTAACGGAAACCGCCGATGAAGATTCCAGTCCGCACGCGACTGCCAGCAGCAACAATGCTGCAAGATACACCGCGGATACAGTAAAAACAGCGTTTTAAACCGGTGACGTAAGGCAGATATCATCTGCGGAGGATATTATAATATAATGTACGCGCAAGGCGTCGACGCAACTTGTCTGTGACGAACGTTTCGCAACGCTGATTAGCGTAGACGGTTCCCGGACCCTATATTAGCATAGGTGGCGAGCGTTTTGGTTAAGCAACGACGAAATGTTGCGAAAGGTTTCGCGATCCACGGAGATTCTCCCGTAGATGGGAAAGGATCGATCGATTTCGCTCGTTCGGTCCCGCGATTTCAGTGCTTCGGAGTTACGAGCATTCTCTCGAATTCCTTCGGAACTATTTATTCGATTAACGAACATACTAATTGCGGAACCAGTCATCAGGATTCTGTATAATCGAAACAAGTTCCTCAATGAAACTGAAATTTGTTCCGAAAAATCCGACAAATCTGAGCAAACTGTTCACAAATAAATTGTACGAAATAATATAAAATAATTCTTCACTTCTGTTACTATTGAACATTCTCGTCGAAGACTCCAGCCTGAATTAACCGATTAGAAATCATCGATGGAAGAAAGTTCGAGAGAAAAGATCCATCGTTCTTCCCATAGATCGACGTTTCTTGTCCCAGAAGCATCAAAGGTGCGACAAGATGGCGAGTTGGATGGCTCCGCGACTTCCACGCGCGAAACTAGGATTTCCCGGGAACTATGGACTCGCATTCCCTCGAACGAGGACTCATCTGGGCTCGGTAACGGTCGTGTGAGCCAACGATCGGGCAAGAGGCACCGACAATGTCGGTCGGCTCGCTGCAGGCGGCCTATTAAACTCGCGTTCGCGTCTCATCGCGCTTAACCCGGTCGCTTACCTCCTTGGCCCTATAAATATTGCGGTAGTCATCGCGTGGGCGGGATCCTTTCACTCTCGGACTGGTTAGCTTTGTCCTTTAATTCGTCCGAGCAGCTTCCGTGGCTCGCGAACGCGTCGAGTCATCGTTGGACCGAGGAAAAGTGAAAATAATTAATATTACCTGAAATTTTCGCGCAATAACAGCTCGAAGTCTGGTAAATTTCTGTATTTTCTTTATTTCTGATATCTTATACAAATTTATGAAAAAGAATTCTCTGATCGACGGAAGACAAATTCTTTTGGCCAAAGTCTTTAATCTATATAGAATAGGATCTTTAATCCATAGAGTTTATAGATTAAGGGAATTTAATGATGTTCTTATTTTCTTAGAATGTCAGAGGATGTTGGTCTGATTTTCATTTGATAATGTTCAATTAGAAAGAGTATTTAATTAATAGAATTGATACAACGGTTGCGTGGTATGGCGGGGTTGGCACGCATTGTTCCAAAGATTTTAAAATTCGCGGTGGCGAAGTTGCTTCGAACACGGCCAGCGGAATTAAATAGATGAAGATGTTGCACGAATCTCCGTTGAGCGAGTGCCAGCTGGCTTCAGAGCTGAACTAGACACGTCCAGGGTTCTTTGGAAGTGTCGCAATAGATCACCGTGGAATACCAATTTACTGTCAATACCTGAGACTAGGCCGAGGACAGAGTTTACGAGTGTTTCGGATGGCCTCTGTAAATTCTGCCATGCTTGCGCCGATTATTTAGACCCGCCGCGTTCTTGTCCCAATTTCCCTTGTCCTCGGGACACTTGTTCTCCTAAACATAGAGAACCTCATCCCTGAATCCATTAGACACCGTAGAAATATCGTAACATAAAAACTACAAGAAATTGCATCGTAGCATATTGCGTTAGCATAGTTCCTACATGTAATCCTCCATCATCAATGTTTCAAGAAATACAGTAACAGGCTACCTAAAAGATCTCTCAATTTACTTGGTTTTCCTGTAGAATCATAGGAAACGTAGAAGCAACATTTCACTTTCAACACGCATTAAACACACAAAGCGACAGGCAACGCGTCAAAGAGCCTTGCGCTGGAGACAGCGTGGCAGTATTAGTTGAAGTACGAGAAAGCACTCCGATTTGAAGCGAAACGGACCGGATTTCGAGCGAAACGATGGGGGTACCTTTCAGTTGTCCCCCAGCGAGAGACGATGACGTGCGTGAGGTCGGCAATTTAAAGCGCCATTTGCTTCCTGTGGAAGGGAACAACGGCCCCGTTCCTCCGTTCAGCGTGTCGCCTCTAAGTATTCGCGTGTGACCGTCCTAATTGCGCGATACGTACGCTAATCGCCGGCAAC